TAGGTGGACAACATATGTGGCAAATAGAGTTTCACAAATTCAGGAGTTATCAGGAAATTGGAGCTTTTGGAGACATGTAAAATCGGCAGACAATCCAGCAGATGTGCTTTCGAGAGGAATGTTAGCAGGAGAATTAGTAAAGTGTCAGTTGTGGTGGAAGGGTCCAAATTATTTACAGGAGTTAGAGTTCGATTCGTTAAAGGAGAAAGATATAGAAGTGCTTGATATAATTCCAGAGAATAAGCGAGATGAAAAAGAGCAAACAGTGCTATTAAATACAGCAGAACTAGAGAGTTTGATAGATTTTGAAAGGTTTTCGAATTTCAATAGGGTAGTTCGAACAGTGGCAGTAGTTAATAAATTTGTTTCAAAGATAAAAGAAAAAACATATAAGGTAGTGCAAGTAGTATCTCCAGCAGAATTTAACAAAGCATTAAATATGGTAGTTAGAATAGTTCAATTACAAGCGTTTCAAAAGGAAATTAGAGAAATAAAAGCAGGACAGATAGTATCAAATAAAGCGATATTGGGGCTTAAACCAATTTTAAATGACGAAGGATTTTTGTGTGTAGGGGGAAGATTGTCAAACGCAAGCATTTCGGTGGAACAGAAACATCCAAAACTTTTACCGTCCAATAATCATGTAGTCAAGTTATTGTTAAAAGCTGAACATGAAAGGTTAGGGCACGTTGGAGCGCAAACGGTGTTATCAAACATTCGATTGAGATTTTGGCCTATTCATGGTTTAAAAGAAGTTAAAAAAGTTATATTTAATTGCGGAATATGTAGAAGATTTCGAATTAAACCTTGTGAACAGATTATGGCAGACTTGCCCAAGGATAGAGTTACTAGTGGTACACGACCGTTTCAATGTGTAGGAATTGATTATGGGGGACCTATTAAGATTAGGGCATCAAGGTTGCGGAAGGCGAAAGTACTTAAAGGATATATGGCAGTGTTTGTATGCATGGTCACGAAAGCATTGCACATAGAGTTAGTTTCCTCATTGAGTACGGAGGCATTTTTGTTTGCATTTAAAAGGTTTATTTCGCGGCGGGGAAATCCGTCCATCGTATATAGCGATAACGGAATGAACTTCGTAGGAGCCAAAAACAAATTACACGAATTATACACGTTTTTACAAAATCAAGCAAACACGAATAGCATTGTAGAGTTTGTAGGTAACAAAGGCATCACGTGGAAATTCATTCCTCCGCACAGTCCTCATTGGGGTGGAATATGGGAAGCGGCTATAAAAAGTACAAAATCACAGTTAGCGCGGGTTATAGGCACGGCGTGTTTAACGTTTGAGGAGCTGTCCACAGTGCTAACGCAGATTGAGGCAATTTTGAATTCACGTCCATTAAGTCCGCTGTCCAATGATCCTGCTGATCTCGAATGTCTAACTCCAGGACATTTTTTGATTGGACAAAGTCTAACAGCGATCCCTGAAGTAGACGTGTCTTTAAAAAAGGAGAATCGGTTAGATGTGTGGAAGAGGTGTTGTCAACTTCAACAGCAATTTTGGAAACGGTGGTCAATGGAGTATTTAAGCAGGTTGCAGCATAGACCAAAATGGCTGGTCCCAAAACGGGAGCTAGAGGTAAATGAGCTGGTCTTAATAAAGGAGGATGCCGTTCCGCCACTGCACTGGCCAAGAGGTAGAGTGACCAAGGTGATAGTCGGGTCAGATGGTCGAGCTACTTAAATATTATTGTTCCTTTTCTGAGGTAAAGCGTTTGGTAAGGAACATACACCACTTTCCCCGGCCGGAGGATGTTGGGATTTGTCAAATAGGACAACTGCCAACATGACTGATACAGTCAAGGGGAATTAGGTTGGTAAAGCTGCGGTAGTTAGTGGATAGTTGAGAGAATGATAATTGACAGGGTTGTTAGAGTTTTAGTTTACGGTTGCAAATGTTTGTTGCATAGCAAATTATAAACACATTGGAAATTATATAAAACGCGCGTGCGCAAAGGGGATGACAGAGTTCGGCGTTGGCGTCCATGTAAACCATTTGGGGTTGGTTAGTGATTGAAAGTTAGAGAGTTAATGCAAGTCAACTGATCAGTAAGCAATTGCAAAGTGTAGTTCTCCTCAAGTTAATGGTTGTACGGCGTACACTTGTTCGCCAATAAAGCTGCCGTTCTCTCCAAATGTGGTTTCACTACATTTAATATATATATATATATATATATATATATATATATATGAGAGAATGATAATATAATATATATATATATATATATATATATAGGAGCTATATATATATATATTGTTGTAAACGACGAGCAAATGGAATAATAACTTTATTATATGAGGAGAAAATTATGATTGACAATAAACAAATTGTACTTCAATATATATACGCACAAACAATCGAGGTAGCTCTTGCTAAGCCTCGTTCTTCATTCCTATATATATATATATATATAGCTCCTATATATATATATATATATATATATATATAGGGTGGTGTTATATTTATATATTAGTCAATGTTGAAACGTAAACGTGTATACCGAAAAGGTAGAGGATTATTAAACACTTTGATTAATAAATTGCCAGTTGAACTACATATACCCGGCTATAATTATTGCGGACCCGACACAAAATTAAAAAAACGATTAGCTAGGGGGGATAGTGGTATCAATCAATTAGATTCTGCATGTAAAGAACACGATATTGCTTATTCTAAAAGTAGTAATCTAGAAAAAAGACATAAAGATGATAAGGAATTAGAAAATAAAGCCTGGAACATTGTCAATTCAGATTCTAACTTAGCTGAAAAAACTGAAGCGTGGTTAGTAACGACAGCAATGAAAGGTAAACAAAAATTCGGTATGGGATTAAAACAAAGAAAAAAAAAGAGAATTATTAAACCTCCAAAAATCGGTGGATTTCTACCACTTTTATTACCTCTTCTTGCCGCTCTTGGTGCTATGGGTGGTGGAGCAGCTAGTATTGCAAAAGCAGTAAACGATGCGAAAGCGAATAAATTGGAACTTGAAGAACAAAAACGTCATAATTTAATGATGGAAAAATCGGGTAGAGGCATAAAAAAGGGGAAAGGAATAAAAAAGGGGGGAGGAATAAAGGGAAAAGGTTTATATTTGAGACCTTATTCAAAAAACTAATTTTACCCAACAGGGCATTAAACGATGTTGATTTAAAAAAGTATGCTGAAAAAATTCCCCATTTTAGAGGTGTATTTATGAGAGATATATTACCAAAACTTATACATAAATTTGAAACTGGAATAATAAATCTTGATTCGGATATTGGTGCAGGTACTCATTGGGTAGCATATTCTAAGAAACACGATAAAATTATATATTTTGATAGTTATGGAAATTTACAACCGCCTATAGAATTAATTAATTATTTCCATAGTAACGGAAAAGTAAACGTATACTATAATTACGACCGAATTCAAAAGGATTCATACATGTGTGGTCATTATTGTCTATTTTTTTTATATAATCAATATTTTTAATAAAAGTATATCATTTCTTAGTAAACTGTTGTATTGAATGATATAATACAACTCATTAAAAATTATGTAAAAAAAGTTGATAGCGACGCAGTTATAGATATAATTCCTAATATAAATACATCAAAAATAACAATGAAAAGCAACCGCATAATTTATTTTAAATATAAAGAAAATTATATTGGATCCGTATTTGGATTTAATTTGGAACGACTTGATCCTGATATAACATACATTTCCGAACATCCTATAAAAATATTAAAAGTTAATTCTGTTGGAATTGATTGTAGTATAGCGGCGGGTTCTTATTTAAATGGTAAACCTGTTCACATTATTCATCAATTTTTTCCGACTGTTCCTTTTGGGTATAAAATAGTTGAAACTCCTCAAAACGTTTTGTATTATCCAGTTAGCGTTAAAGCAATCAACAATATTACGGTAAAAATTAGAGATCAATCTGGTGAGCTTATAAATTTTCAAGGTGAAGAAATTACTTTAACGCTTCATATAAGAAAAGTATGGTCTTAAAATTTAACTATATAAAGCATACTTACACTAAAAAAAGTAGTCATCCAAAAACGATCGGAGTAATAACACCGACAAATAAAAAATTTTTAATTTCACTTGGTTTAAAAGTTTTGGTTTAACATGGATGTTCTACATGTCACAGGTCAACCTTTTAATGACACTAGTATTGAAGAATATCAATTTCATAGCTATCAACCAAACATAACGGGCAATGTAAATTATAATGAAATACGAATTTGTATTCAAGATTTAGATGCTTATACTTTACCTTCAAACAGTTATTTGTATATTGAAGGTAAATTACTTACTGAAAACGATCAAATTCCGAAAAATCTAAGATTTATTAATAATGGAATAGGATTTTTATTTCGTGAAATGAGATATGAATTAAATGGGGTTGTTATTGATTCGGTTAGAGATTTAGGATTAACTACAACAATGAAAAGTTATTTAAGTTTGAATGAAAATGAAAGTGTGCTTTTACAAAATGCTGGTTGGTTTCCAAAAATTAAAGATGAAAAAATTTTGGTTGATGGTGATGGTAATTTTAACGTTTACATTCCCATGAAACATTTATCAGGATTTTTTGAAGATTATAAAAAAATTATTATGAATATGAAACAGGAGCTAGTTTTAATTCGTTCCGCTGATGATATTGATTCAATTATCAGTATTGATGAAAGTGAAAAACCTAAAATTGTTATTTCAAAAGTGTTTTGGAATGTACCACACATTAAACCAAGTTTAAGTCAACAACTTCGATTAACAAACATTGCTAAAAGTAATAAAGAGTTACCCATCAAATTTCGCTCTTGGCAAACTATTGAATATCCATCATTAAATAATTCTAGTAGACATACTTGGGCTGTAAAAACTAGTTCAAAAATTGAAACACCTAGACATGTTATTATAGGTTTTCAAACCGATAGAAAAGGAAAAATTACCAAAGATATGAGTAAATTTGATCATTGCAAACTTAATAATCTAAGAATATTTTTAAATAGTGATCGGTTCCCATACCATGATTTAAATTTAAATTATGATTCAAATAGATTTGCAACGGTCTATGAAATGTTTGCAAATTTTCAAGAATCCTATTATCAGCTAATACAGAATCAACCTATTTTTACACCCAATGAATTTAAAGATAAAGCTCCTTTAGTTCATGTGGATTGTTCTCGACAAAAGCAGGTGATACAATCAGGAAGTGTTGCTTTAAGAATTGAATTTGAGACAGATGTTGCCACATCTTCCAATACTTCAGCATATTGTCTCATAATACATGAAAAAGAATTTTCATATAACCCCTCCACAAAAATTGTAAAACAGTATTAAATAAGTGGTTTTGTAAAAAATGTTATAATGTACGAGCAACTGTTGCGTGAGTTTGTTGACAAATTGCTTAAACTGAAGCAAGACATTGAATTTTTTGAAAGAAGAAAATATGTAGAAAAATTATTAAAACAATTAAAACTATGAGACTTGTTGTAGATGTGCAGGGATTTAAAATTGAAAACAATAAATTTATAATCAAAGAATTTGCAGCGTACAATGGGAATCAAATAAATCATTATGTGTTTAAACCACCATTCCCTTTACGAATACTTTCACCTGAATTACACCGTCAAGCTACTTGGTTAATGAATAATCATCATTGCATCGAATGGAATTTTGGATTTACACCTATTCATCATTTTTCGAGAATATTGCAGCAATTAACAAATAATGTTGTGATGGTGTATGTAAAAGGTGCTGAAAAAGCTGATTATATAAAAAAATATTGCAATGTTCCGGTCTATGAATTTGAAGAATCGCCCTCACTTGGACCTATGGAACCGAAATGTTTTAGTCACACATCTAATAATTGTGTTTGTGCTCTGTCAAATGTATTTTTTTTATATGAAAATTTTATAATAAATGAATAAAATATTTTAAAAGTAATTTTATTTTTACAGTTATAATATATCAACAAAATCTCTTAAATCTATATCATCTAAATTACATTCTTCAACATTTAAATTATCTATATTAACCAACTCGTCTACATTATCAAAATTACATTCTTCTAAAAAATTATCTATATTAATTATAAAATGCCCCCATGCTAAAGTATTTACATCACCAGGTATTACATGTCTGTTATCATCATGATATGAAAGTGCAATTTTATTTTTTAACTCTGTAAATATTGTGTGTAAATCAGAGACAAATATGTACATTTTTCTAAAAATCACACCTTCATTTTCTACAATTTGTACATAATCATTTAATTCTAAATTATGTTTAACAACTGATCCGGAAACACCTTTAGCTTTTTTAATTAAAGCACAATTTTTAAAAGGTTTACTTAATTTTACACAATACGCTTTAGCCCCTGTGCCATAAAATGAATCTATAGGAACACCACCAAATCTTTCATTTTACCGACGGTTGACACAGTTTTTGGAATGTCATAAATATTATTGACCGGATAATTAGAAGTATCGTAAAATTCAATATTATTCTTCATATCCTGGTAAAAATCTGATGTAAATATTTCTAAAATTAAAGAGTCCGTGTCTGTATAACACAGTTTAGCATCCAAACCATATTTTTCCTTAATGTGAGTGTAATAAAAATCGTAAATTATTGTCTTTGAAATGTCTAAAATTGAGAAACCTACATAGGATGGTTTATCGTAAAACATTTTTACTTTATTTAATTGAATTGCTACGAGGTTTTCACTGAATATTGAACAAGACTTGAATTCTGGTTTGGCTATTAATCCTCGAGCTCCAGGAGATTTAGTTTTATTTTCCCATCTTGTTGCTAAGCGAATATCTTTTCTTTTTTCTATATTTTCCATGGTTTTTCCAAATATTGAATTTGTTAATAACTTAAATAAATCCCGTTCAAATTCATTTTTTGCATTATTTCGAAGAGTTGTATTTAATTCTATGTATTTCTTTAGCCATTGTGATTGTGAAAATTCAATTATCCTATGAATTTTTTTCAATTTTAAACACTGCTTCAAATTTTTGTAGTGAATAATATATTTTGTCTTATCATACAAATTTGGGATAAGTTTAGAAAATTTACTATTTGGTGGGGTTAAATTTTCCGGACAAAACGGTAGATCATTGTGGAGGTCGTGTAAATCTAACGGGTATTCCAAATCAACTTCCAACACATATCCTTTACAGGAATCATCTAATATAGAAAAAACATTAAAATGATTAATTTCGTTTCCACATAACCATCTAAAATCACTTGTAGGAAGATAATCACTCATTGCAGCTCCGTATAATTTAAACCATAATCTTGTTTTTTCTCTACCGTTTGTTACCCCGTCAGGTAACCTTCAATATGGCGATAAAACAGAAACCTGCATTAACAACTGGAATAGATTATTGATCTTTTTATTATAATAAAAAATAATTGAAGCAGGTTTTCCAGGGTTATGGGAACGTAATTGTTTTTATAATTTAATTAATTAAGGTATATAAAAGGCACATAAAATTGAAAAAGTGATTTTTAATTATTTTACCAAATATGTATTGTATAACCTTGCACTTTTGCTTTTTCCAATAAGGGTCATTTACCTTGTCTAGTGTCCTTTAGTAACTGGTGCTTGACCTGACCTTGAAAAACCGGTTCATCATTTTCCTCCACGTTTGAACCTACATATCCTAACTACTAAGGACGAATTCCCCTTTTATCTTTGGACAAAACTCTGCGATACGATCCAAATCCCTTCTGAATACCTCCTTGCTGCTAGCGTTTGGAGACAGGTAAACACAAACTATACTAAACTTCCCCACATTAACACACACAAAACCCTCCCCCTCTGTTATACTAGCTATTTCAATATTACGATTGTTGCACAAAATTTCGACGTTTGCTCGCCTATCCCTAATCCATCTCCCCCCCTCAGTAATTTTAACATTAGGTTCACTAACCACTAGGATATCTATATCTTTCTCAATCAGCACGCTATATACCAAATCGTGTGCAGCCCTTCCCCTTCCCAAGTTTGTTTGTAAAATTTTATATCCCATTATTCTTATTTGGTACCTCGGTGCTCCTCCGAACCCCTTCCTCTTGTCCAGCATTAAGCGTATTTCTCCTACTTGTCCTTTCCGATGTTCTTCGTCTCCTTTCCAAAGCCACCATTTTTCTGAACGCCGGGCATGCAATTTGGTTGGCTCTGTGTCCACCCTCTTTGCATGTGGCGCAGTAGTCCTCTCCTCCACAGTCCTTCGCAAGATGTCCTGGCTTATTACATTTGAAACACCTATCTTTCGAATCCTCTTCCTTGCACTCATTTCTCCTATGACCGTACTGAAGGCATTTGTAACACCTTAGAATGGATACCCACTCCTTGATTCTGCAGAAGGAGATTCCGACCTTTATTTTGCCTTCGTTAATTATTCCTTCTGCCTTCCTTCTATCAATTTTAGCGATGGCTGCCTGATTCCCATCACCAGTTGTCCTAATAGACGTTACCTCCACTGTCCTGCTTCCTACGCTTTCATTGAGACTAGCGATGATTTCATCTTTGCTCAAATCTCCAGCAATATCCAAAATGTGCACGGTTTTAACATCCTTCCTATGAATTACTTCCATATCTGTCAGTTTTGATTTCAGCTCCTATTTCAACTTGATTGCATGATCAGCCTTCTTTATTTCCATCAGTAGGTCTCCATTTCTCGTCCTTTTAACTCTCTCCACATTTACTCCAAGCCCATTAACATCCACATTCTTTCTAACGTCCCTCAGCAGGTCTGCGTAACTTCTTCCCCCCGCTTTAAGTATTATTTTTTCTGATTTTTTCGGTCCTTCCTCATTTTGGATTTTGTCCTTTTCTTTAGCCACGATTTTTATTTTCCACTTGCTGTTATAGAATACTGCTTCACAGATCTTCCTCAGTATGCCTATTGATGTATCACTTAGTGGTATGATCTTAAAATCGCTTCCTTCTTCACTTGGGTCCGTTATCTCCTGCTTTAATCTGTTTATAATCTCCAGTAGGTTCTTCGAGTCCTTTTCTACGTTGTCACTTTCCTCGTGTGGAGTTATAAATATTCGGCAACTTTCCTCTATCAATTTCGTGTTCCCATACCGGATTGTAGAGCACTTAGATACGACCTCTATTTTCTTGTCGTCTACCCCTCTTTCTATTATTTTCGGCAATTCTGGTATTATGGTCGTTATCTCCGCAACCCTATCCTGATCCTTCTTAATATTTGGTCCCATAATTAAAGCCAGGCTTTCGCCCAATTCCTGGGGAGTAGGAAGCTCCTCCATTACCTCTGTCTTTTGGTAGGCCTCCTGTGGCCATTCATATTCTATCATTTCCAGTATATTCCTTGACTCCTTTAAATTCTGCAGTATCCACTTGTTCCTTAATTCCGTCTTTTCTTCTTCTGAAAGTGGCGGCAAATCTACTTGTACTTCCGCGTTTTAGGGATGAGTATTACTTTCGCCCTCTTCCACGTGTCCGGGTATTTCTGACTTTTAAGGATGGTATTATATACGGCCAATATTTGTTCCGGTATCACCTCCACCGCTAATTTACATGTCTCAGCCGTAATCCCGTCCGATCCTGGGGCTTTTCCACTCTTTAATTTCTTAGCCGACTAGTTCCTCTCTGGTAAAATCCTCATATTGATCCGTAATGCCCCCTCCTGCTACATTTGTTTTCCATCTTGGAAAGAGACCTTTTACTATTTCTAATTTTTGCCTTGTCTAAATTATATGGGGAAGTCTGCTTTTTTAACCCCCTTGTAGCAATCCTGTATCCCTCTCCCCATACATCGTTGTCTATCTCCTTACACTTTTCTCTCCACTTTTCTCTTTTAGCCTTGTTTATTAGCCATTAGAGAGATTAGTTATTAGAGACTCCTCCACTGCTCTTCTCTTACCCCATTTCTCCGTCTAGCCCTTTGGGTATCTCGTCTTGCCCTGTTACACCTCGTCCTTGCATCCTTTACATCGTCATTCCACCAGTAAGGTTGTGTTTTCCTTCCTTTCTGCTTTCGCATTTCTTTTGTGCTGTCCCGAGAACCCTGACCATTTTTTTGTATGCACCATCGATTTCATTTCCCATTTCCTTCAATAGACTCCTAATTTTAGTTTTGTCTATTGCGTCGGCTTGCACGGTGGACATGTTCTCCCTCTTTTTATTCGCTCCTCCTTTGTAGAGAACCTCCATGAAGATAAATCGATGATAATTCAGCGATTCCTCGTCCAGAACTATCCTTGTTTTAACAGGATCTATACCCTTCTCATTACACAGAGTTATATCGATTATCGTTTCGGGGGCACCTCTGACAAAGGTAGGAGTTTTTCCATCGTTTCTTACATGTAGGTGTAACGCGGCTATCCACTCTTCCATGTATTTTCCCCTCAGATCTTCCTTCCCGGGGTAGATAGGTAAGATTTTGAGTTGAAATCTCCAACAACTATTACCTTTGATTTCCTGTCCTTCTTCACATCCTCCATAACGCTGTCTACATATGTCCTGAAAGACTCCATGCTGATATTGGGAGATATATAGAAGTTGTATATAACCCATTCCTGTAGGTAGATCTTAATATAACCCCTATTACTCCTATGTTCGCGCACCCCCACGTTTTTGTTTCTGAATTGTACTGCAACCACCTCCTCTTTGTCCATTATTAGTCCTTTTCTTTTCGATAGATTTATATTGGGTTCCTGATATAATACTATATCGACTCTCTTATTTTCAGCGGTCGCTTCCGTCACATCATGGGATCTTCGGGATCTGCCTACGTTTATTTGGAGGAGTTTCATCACGTTAGAACAGGTAAGTATAAACAGGTAAGTATAAACAGGTACGTATAAATACTAGATAAGTACAGATAAATAAATAAATAAACAAAGTAAGTATAAATAGGTAGACTCGATATTAAATAAAGTATGTATAATAAAAACCTTATGTATAATTATATGTATATATCACAGTAGGAACTATCACAGTTATATCACAGATTTGTTTGCAGGTTGTTCATTCTTTCCCTGATCTATATCTGATTTTTCTTCGCCTTGTCTTTCGCATTCCATGTCCGTTTGCTCTTGTATGTCTTCGTCTATTAGTTCCTGCGGTTTCAGTGTTATTTTCGTCCTGGTCCTCTCGGCTTATACTAGGCCTACTTAGAGTCCTTCGGTACGTAATTCTTTCAGCTTTGAGGGCTGCTCTGGATGCAGGGCATTTATTTGTATTCACTCTGTGTTCTTTATCCTCACACAGAGGACATTCTTCCTTCTCGCAGTCCTTCGCCTTATGCCCTGGCTTCCCACATTTAAAGCAGTGGGTACTTCTGTCCGGCCCGTTGCAATTTTCTTGTGTGTGGTCATATGACCAACCTCACCTCCTGCACCTTTTGATGTTTAGTTTTTTTTTCTATATTACATCTCACTATTCCTATCTTCACGTACTCTTTTTCCAATAGGCGCTGTGCTGTATTGTCATCCACTGCTATCGTCACCGCTTTCGTCTTATTACCCATCTCTCTTAGGTCGCTAATCGTGAATCCATTTTCCCAAGCCCCTACAGTCTTAGCTATGGCTTCCGTTACATCTTCCTTAGTCGTATTGGTCATAACTCGGATATATAACACCGTTCCTCTTTCGCCTAGCACCCTGGTTTTTAGACCTGCCATATCCAAAATTTGATGTAGCTTTTGAAACTCTTCCTTCTCTTTGTCGGTCGTTACCAGCATCTTTCCATCCCTAGTACATCTTACTGTCCGTACCACCTTGGCTGATTCCTGTGCCCCTATTGCTGTTTGGACCTTTTCCAGAACTTCTTTGTACGTCTTTTCTCCGTCTCCTATTATTAAACCTAAGGTGTTTCTTTCCTTTCTCTCCTTCCGGCTCTTGGTTGTATATATTTCCGCTTTAATTTTCTTTTTCCTAAAGATACATTCGACCATTTTCTTCATGCGGGTTACGTCCATTTCTTTTAGATGATGTAGGCAGAGGTTTTCCCCTTCAGTGCATTCCTCTAGAATCCACTCTAGATCATTCCATAAATCCAGCTCGTTCCTAGTCGTTACAACTTTTGCAATCCTCCTATTTATTGTTACTTTATTTCTTATTTTTGTAGCCTGCTCTAATATCTCTTTATGTTTCATATCCCCCAATTCTGGGTATTTGTCTTTATATAATTTCTGGATGCTTTGATCCATATTGGGGTCGTCTGGTTCTATCATTACCGCCTTGAAAAATCCAACCAAACTTGGGAACGAATCCTTATCGTTTTCTGGCCTATGGCGCCCCTCAACTGGGTACTAGCTACTGGTAGGACCTGTAAATTTACCCGTTCTCGCAATTAAAAGAAGTAATCCTCACTCAAACAACTCAATTCACACCCAGAATCCAATAAAGCAAGGATATTTAATTTACCACTATTTAAGAAGACATGGGGCAATGAACTGAAAGTGCTTAAGTTGCGGGCACATGAATTCAGTTCGTAGTCCAGAATACGAAAACTGACCGGGTTCGCTCCACAGTTAACCGTTCGGTACAATAAGAATCCCACTGGCGTACGGGGAAGTAACTCTAAGGGTGTCCTCAATTGGCCACATTTAGTAGTACTACAACCTAAAGGCTGCCCGACATCCCACCCGTAATTAGCCAACATGTGAAACCCCTTCGAGTAAACTAATAGTAAGTCAGCGGGATCGAGACAGGGGGTCTGACGAAATCCCAATTGCCAGATGGGTGGCGTTGGTAGTTCAGGGTCCACTAGCGCGCCCTCGGGAACGATCTTTATTAGTGGAAATACACATGGGGGACTTTTATAGGTATTAGGGGAAAGATCCCCCATTAATTTTCCCTGGGGTAGTTTTCCGGATGGGAAGAAGGGGGAGCCCTTATAACTGGGGGTGGAGTAGAGAAGTTAATGGGGGTGAGATAGGCTGCATTTCGATGTCTTGTTCGAGGGAAGCTGCAACCGCTGGAAAAGGCTTAGGGGCTGATTTCAACTTCTTTGCAGAACGGCCCACCACCTGTCGTTCCAGAAATTGCAAGGCACCGAAGATGCTTCGGTCCGTAACGACAGTCCACAGGGATTGTACTTGTATAGGGAAGCTCTTCATGATCTGGTTCACAATGACAGCTTCGGGGAGGGGAGGGTTGAACAATTTATACGAACTAACTTGTCTTAGGAAGAAAGCCGACATGGATTCATGTTCAGGGTCATATATCTGAGAACCGAGCCGATAACGTTCCTCTGCCTGCCTCTCACTCGACCAAAATTGTTTTTCAAAGTCCTAGAGGAAATCCTCGTAAGTTTGCCAAAATTCACTGCGGAGGTCTGACCAATCCAAAGTCGGACCGGTAAGGCAACGTTTTACGATATTAAGTTTCAGGTTGGGCGGGGTTTGTGTCAGTTCAAAATATTGGTTCAACCGTTGGACAAATTTAGCGGGGTTCCCACGGCTCAATGAGCGGAATTGGGGGGTCTTCCCTTGGCGGGTCCGGCGCCGACCATCATAATTCTCCCATTTCCCGTTGATCCAGCTTCGCCGGACTTGTCAGTAGACACTACTGTCGTGGGATTGGAGGAAGAAGCCCCAGTGGAAGACGGGTGACTCATAGATTTGAGCAACACCTTGTTGAGCTCCTGCTGTTGGTTGACCAGTAATTGGATCATGCGGGTCTGTTGCATCAAAGCTGACTGGAGTGCTAACATGTCAGAAGGTCTGGTCTGTTCGTCTAATTCTTCATTGCCCAAAGAATTGACCGAGGGGTTTGGATCTCTGGACTCTTCGACCCCGCTCTCTGATGTGTTAATTTCACGTCGTGACATACTGTGCTCCTATTACTTCGAGACAGGCCTTAAAATCTATTAGGGAAGACGGGTCGTCTCTGTTCTAGTGGACAGCGGCAACGGGCAGCTATATCAGCAGCTATTTCACCTTAAAGATATTTGCACGATGAGTATCTACACGATCTACGGTCCACTAATCAAGGTGCATAACGAAAGAAAGAATGCACAAAGTCTTTCGGAGCCAACCCTAACTTCATTTCGTTTAGCAATGCATCCTGGTCACGGCAACGAATCTGTAATGTAACCACCCTACCAAAGTTTTATAAAATCACCTACCCTTGGCCGAAGGAAGAGAACCCGTGATCGTCTTCGTTTTAGTAACCCCTCGTTCTTTAGTGCATTGCCACGAAATTTCTGAAGTAGGGATAGGCTCGAAATGAAATACTGAATTATTCCATAATAATTCGGGATAAAATTACAAAATCTGGTTCGGGTCGCAATTTCTTTGGGCGAGAGGAAGAAAGAACCAGTAAGAAAACTTATCTCGTGCAATACCCAAAGAAAGAAATAAAAGAAAAATTAACCAACAACACAATACATGACGAAATAAATAAATAAATATATAAATAAAAATCAATCGATAAAGATAAATAAATATAAATAAAAACCAATTGTAATGATACAATACGTATTGTAATGATTAATGGAATATTTTTTCATTAAACCTTGAAACTTTTTGTTGAAAAATTCGGTTCCTTGATCAGACTGTAGATTTTTCGGTTTTCTTTTTGCTTGCTGCACTGGATCTCCGTGCAGGATCGTGGGTTGCGAAGAAACAGACGGAAACACCAAGGAAGTTACACAAAACTTTATTGCAACGATGAATAACACAAAAACTAAAATAGCGGGAGGAATCTATTAATTCTACCCAAGTACCGCTAACAACGGAAAAATCGTGACCCTGCTACTGCAGCGATTCACAACCGTCCCCCGCGTACCCGTCGCGCGCCGTCCTCCCTTCCGCGCTTTTCTTTCCGGTACTTTTCGTACGCTTTCGGCAACCGCTTATTCGTACCTATTGCCGAACCACTACATTACCACCCACTTAAATCTAATACAGAGAACAAGACCTTACATACAGTGCAGATTTAAGTTAACAACATAGAACACAATAAAGATTCCTCAATTTAACATCAATTTTCTATAACTAAGTACACAATGAAAAACTAAGGCAAACAATATAGCCTCGTAACAAAAAAAATAACGCAACTACTATCAAATTGGAGATACTAACTTTCCAAAAACCACTTTCTTTGGAAGCTGAAGATCCAGCTCCCGATACAATTTGAGATTTTTAACATTCTGCTTAGAATGCTCCCGCCCCTGTGAATCCCGTAATACATAACTGTTAGGACCGGCTTTCCTCAACACATATAGTGGGCCCTCAAATAGCAAGAAAAATGTCTTTAGTGTTCGTTCCTCTGCAGAGGATTGCTTATGAACCCGTACAAATACTTTATCATTTTCCGCGAATTCGACTGGTCGAATTCCTGCATTCAACTTAGCCACCCGTTTCTCCGCGCAAGATTTTAACCCCTCCAATGCCAAAATTCGAACCTTCTCTAAACTAGGCTGATCTTCCTCATCGTCCGGAAATTCTACCAAGTCCCTTATAGGTTGCCTTGGACGAACACCGAATTGCAAATAAATGGGCGCATATCCCGTAGCCAGACTTACTGCGTTATTTAACCAATCCTCGATAGAGTGTAGCATGCATGCCCATCGAGCGTGCTTGTCGTGACAATAGGACCTAAGAAGCCTTCCAACCTCCTTATTATACCGTTCTGTTAAATTCCCCTCTGGAAAATAAACCGAAATATACTTATAACGAATACCCGCCTGAGTTAAGGTATTCTGCCACTCTCTACCCGTAAACTGGGTTCCATTATCGCTTAAAATACATGTCGGTTTCTGAACCGTTGCTATATAATCGCCCATAATTCTCCCTAAAATAGCCCTGGCAGTTGCTCTTTTAAGAGCGTACAACCGAACATGCTTGGTAAATGCGTCGACCACTACTAATAACATTGTAACACCCCCCCTTGAGGTCGGTAACGGCCCCATGAGATCAACACAAACTAACTCCCCCGGCTTGGTTGGTATCACCGCATGACTCAAACCCTTTGACACCTTAGACACCTTTGCCTTTTGACACAGATCGCAAGCAGCTAAGATATGATATGATGCTGCATCTTTGGCCAATAAAACGCACCGAGCATGTAATTATAAATCTTGGCCTTACCAAAATGACCCCCTTGCTGGTGGTACGAGGACACCAATTCCTGAATCTGCCCCCTTGGAACACATAATTTAAAACCCGGATTAAGGGCGGTTCCTCTTTTGAATAATAAACCCTTGTATGTAACAAACCATGTAATGAGAGCAAGCTCTTTTTGGGAAAGCACACACGCTTCCCTTTGCAATCCGTCCAGACGCTCTATCCTATCTCTAATCCATAATTCCCTCATCTGGTCCTCCCGTAACGTTCTCAAATTCTCTTTTATAACCTTAAAACAGTCACCTGATTCCATCCCCATAATTCTATCGCCCCTCACCCGTTCCGGTGAAAGCTGTAAATCTCTCCGCCGTGGAGATCGCGATAACGCATCCGCTACCACATTTTCTGATCCCGCACAATACCTAATTTCCAGTCTAAACTCCTGCACCCACCTCGTTAACCTAGCGGAGCGCAACCTACACGTTGATAAGAAGCACAAAGATTTGTGGTCAGTGATAAAAACAACATGCTGCCCCAATAGTAATGTACGCCACTGGCCCAAACAATACACTAAAGCCAGTGCCTCCTTCTCCGTGGTGGTGTATCTAAGTTGACTTCCTTTTAACGTCGAACTGCTGTAGGCAATAACTTGCTTTTCCCCGGCATCAGATTCCTGGAACAGGTAGCCGCTGATTGCATAATCCGACCCATCGCATTGCAGAAAGAACGTTCTGCCGAAATCTGGATGCGCCACAACGGCAGCACCCAAGTACGCCCTCTTAATAGCTGCGAACGCACCATTTTCTATCTCCGTCCATCCCCACTTTTCTCCCTTTCTCAGAAGTCTCAACAATGGTGCCACCATCTCGGAATGGTGATCACAAAAACGACGCTCGTAGTTTATTAATCCTAAAAAACCCCGCAATTCTCGAACATTTCTGGGTGCCGGAAATTCATTAATGGCCTCCAACCGCCTCGGATCTCTGTGATATGGCCCAGAAAAACCACACTCGACCTAATAAATTGGCATTTTTTTAGCTTAACAGTAACCCCTTCCCTTTTAAAATTCTCGAAAATTATCCGCAAATGTCCCAAATGGTCCCTCACCGAATCTGAGTAAACCAACAAATCATCCACGTAAGCAATTACATTTGCCCTTACCTCCTCGCCCAGAACCTCATTCAAGCATCGTATCAAACTGGACATTGAGGTTGACAAACCGAACGGTAACCGCTTAAAGGCATACGTTTTTCCCTCGTATACGAATCTTATAAATTTAGTGTCCTCATCATGAATTCTAATTTGCCAGTAACTGGCCGTGAGATCAATAGTGCTTAAAATCATACCCCTTTTAAAATTGTAGAACAGCTCGCTAGGGTTCGGAGGATTTACAAAATCTCCCGCCATTCTTTTATTCAATGCCCGCGCATCCAGACAAACGCGAACTGACCCATCTTTTTTTTTAACTGTCACCAGAGGTGACACATAATTTGTCCTCTCCTGTCGAATCACCCCCACCCTAGCATTTCCTCAATTTGTTTGCGCACCGATTGCCTGTACGCGAATGGAATCGGATAAATAGGACTAGAAAAAGGCCTGTCGTCAAGCATCCTGACACGGTGCACATAAGACTTAACACATCCTGTTTCCTTATCGACTCCCGCCTGGTCGACAACCCGTTTCATCTCCTCATACGAGTACTGGTGACGCCCCCCACCGGCATCACTAACCGTCCTACTTTCCTCAACCCCGGAAGAACCGCCAACGTCCATTTCTTCATCTACCAAGTTAATACTCTGTTTCGTTCCCGGCCACTCGAACGTGTCCTCTTCAAATTGCACCGTATATTCCCGATCCCCACAACTAAATGTCATTAATGATCCGCAAAAATCTATACTAACCCTGTAATTGGTAAGCCAATCAATTCCCAACAAAATATCTTGTAACGTTCTAAAATCTCCCCACAATAATCATTAATTCCTTTACACATTTTAAATTCACTAATTGATTGTATTGAAGATTTGTTTACCTTTTGGAATAACTAGGGTTAATGATTCTACGAGTACGTTCGTTTGTCCAACAATAAATTCTTCTGTTTATTGTTATTGACATTTGTCTTTGTGTTCTTAACGAGTTAGTGTTCTGAGTAATTGACACTTCTAAAGGGTTATTTAGGTTGTTCCGTGGTTCCGCTGGTTCCATTTTGATTTTGGTCTTTGAGGCAGACAGACTCGTGGTATTACATTTTTAGTAATCGGGAAACATCTCGGATTTTCTACGGTCTGTCTGAAAATATTTAACTTCGTTAGTTGTTTGGAGCCTTGTGCTATTTGATTTGCCGTATATTTTTGGCGTTAACGTGAGTTAAATCCGTTATTCGGGATCTATATCCTCTTGACCAAATCAACCACGTTTCGATCCCCGACTTAGAACACTAGGGGTAAGTCTTGTCTTCCTTCCTGTTGCAATCGTTAATTGTGTGTTTCTTAGGATTAATTTTTATTACTACTATTACTTTGGGTTGAATTTTCCAATCCGTATTTTCTTGGATCTTCCGTGAGGTTATTTGTATTTAACTGTCTTCCGATTGGACTGGGACCGATTCCTGCGTCACTTTGACCGCCTGTAGTTGCGACCGATAGTTGATTCGACAAAGTTCACCTGTTGTCCCGAGTATCTGGACTCTTATGTGACACCCAGACCGTCACCAGGAACCTTGGGAACTTCACCACG